ATTCGCTTGAGGATGAAATGGAACTAATGTCTTTAATTTAATTACTAAATTAAATTCAGGGCTTTAGCTTCCATTTTTTTTGAACATGGTTAGAACTGTGTAGCGAAAAAAACATATTTTAAATGAATTAATTTATAATATATATATATATGCATATATATATATATATCTATATCTATATATCTATATATCTATATATATATATATATATATATATATATATATATATATAGTTTGCGTATAAGCTGTAAATCCGGATCCACTTTCTTGAGAAAGAGACCAAGGCTCATATTATTATCATGAGTTTTGCTATAAGGATCAGTCAAATTTAATGATTTCTAACGGACAAGCATTTTAGAAATTATCTACCAGAGATTTATAGGTTCCTTTCACTTCTGCGTATTTGGGCTGTGATAAGAGTCAAACGTAAAAAGAATATATATATATATATATATATATATATGAAGAAAGAACAGTAAGATATATAATCTTGTCTCTAGTGGAAGTGGATTTCTCTGTATCCTTGGAAACGTGAATTATGATTTTTGCTGTGTCTTTAAAACCCAGTAATTTTAAAAGTTCCTCCAAAATTCGCTTGACGATGAAATGGAACTAACGTCTTTAATTTAATTACTAAATTAAACTCGGAGCTTTTAGCTTCCATTTTTGAAACATGGTTAGAAATGTGTAGCGAAAAAAAAACATATTTTAAATCAATTAATTTATAATATATATATATATATATATATATATATAAATATAAATGAATAAATTCATTGAGTCCGATATAAGTCTCAACTGAAAAATAGAGGAAGCACTGGACGGCCGTTTCGTCCTATAATTGGGACTCATCAGCAGTGCGCATCCACCACCAGATATCGAAACCCTGACAGCTGGGTTGTCAAGCAGACAACATACCAACTGTACCAACCGGGCCTCGACACCGAAGAGATTCATATCAGACCCACATAGCGCCGCTCACTCACATATTCCGTGGCAGAACTACTCCTGAGTTCAATATATAACCATAGGACTGTGCCTCCTGGAGCCACGACTTCTATCACCAAGCCGCGTCAACTGGAGCATTAGAAGCTGGATCAAGCAACAATAAATACATAAATAAGTAGGAGGATTTGATAAACATATAAATGAATAAATTCATTGAGTCCGATATAAGTCTCAACTGAAAATAGAGGAAGCACTGGACGGCCGTTTTCGTCCTATAATTGGGACTCATCAGCAGTGCGCATCCACCACCATGATATCAGAAACCCTGACAGCTGGGTTGTCAAGCTTCCATACCAACTGTACCAACCGGGCCTCGACACCGAAGAGATTCATATCAGACCCACATGAATTTATTCACTCACATATTCCGTGGCAGAACTACTCCTGAGTTCAATATATAACCATAAGACTGTGCCTCCTGGATCCACGACTTCTATCGCAAGCCGCGCCAACTGGAGCATTAGAAGCTGGATCAAGCAACAATAAATACATAAATAAGTAGGAGGATTTGATAAACATATAAATGAATAAATTCATTGAGTCCGATATAAGTCTCAACTGCTTGACCACCCAGCTGTCAGGGTTTCGATATAAGTCTCTGCTTGACAACCCAGCTGTCAGGGTTTCGATATCTGGTGGTGGATGCGCACTGCTGATGAGTCCCAATTATAGGACGAAACGGCCGTCCAGTGCTTCCTCTATTTTTCAGTTGTGACTTATATCGGACTCAATGAATTTATTCATTTATATGTTTATCAAATCCTCCTACTTATTTATATATATATATATATATATATATATCGGTTTCTTGATTTGCTAATGGTCAAATAAATTTCGAAGGAAAAAAGGTTTTAAAAAAAGAAAGAACTAAAAACATGAACGTCTGTTGAAAATAATCGTACAGCATAAAGGTCCAAAGCCCAAAGAAAAAAAAACCGATACGAGTAATCAACTAACTAAAAAAGTGCTCAATACAAAAGTAGAGCAGACCTAGTCAAACCTAGAGAGCCAGACAAACCTACCAAATACGAGTAATCAACACCAAAAAAGCGGGTCATCAAACCTAGAGGAAAGCTTTCCCAAAGCAGGTGACGAATATATATATATATATATATATATTCTTGTATGGATATTAGTTTGTAACCCTGGGTTTCACGCTTTTGCGATCATCAGACAATCTGGCTTATGTTTTAAAAAGTGAATCTATTTATGCTTATTTGTGTTTGATTATTTCTGTGTTGTGGGGGCGGATTTTTCTTCGGTGTTTGTTTGGGATGATATGCAACTGAATATGTTAGCTCTATCACAGACATTGAGCACTTTTTACTACGTACCGTGCATATAATATATATATATATATATATATATATATATATATATATATATATATATATATATATATATATATATATATATATATATATATATATAGTTAGATTGATGTGAGTTTGTGGCCATGGGTTTCACACTATTTGCGATCGTCAGACAAACTGATTCATTTTTAAATTTTGGATTTATATGTGGTTGCGTAGATCGGTGCTTTTATGGAAGTGGAAGGAGAAATTGTCGTCAGAACGACACTCATACTTACGTAAACATACATACACGCACGTACACTCATTGACGTACGCAGACACACACACACACGCTCACTCACTGGAGCCCACACAAATATAAACGTATGTGAACTTCAAATTTTAAAATTAATCGGTTTGTCTGACACTTTTTCGTGCATACACTCAATTTCTCCACAATACGTGGTTGCTGTTATTGTTTTCTCTTGAGACATGTATGAATAATGAATAGCCTCTTTGAAAGACCACCATACATTAACCATTAACTTTTTAGGATGTAGTGGAGGTTTTGGATATTGTTTTGGTGATTCACTCTCATCTAACCACTGGCCTACTCTCTTACTGTTGTTAAAGAGTATCCATTTCTCATCGCTTGAAATAATTCGATGTAAAAAATGATTCTTTTTCCCAGTTTGTATTCATACAGTATGATTACTCGACATTGTTTCGTTGTAATCATTTTCATTGGGCTTAATGAATAACAATATATTGGAAGGAAAATTATTTGGAAAGATGAAAACGTGAAGATTATTTAATATACTAAAGAGGTTACTTTGTTAGACGACCGGATCGACAACCAATCAAAAACAAAATGCGTCGTTTTATGTGTCAATCAAATATTTCTTGTAATAAATCCAATGGTAATTGTTCAGTAGCGCTATGTACTAATTTACTCACTAACGGAGAAACAAGCAGATATCAACAAATATTTGTATATTTATTTGTCTATTGTTTCTTTTGTATTAGTTTTAGTAACCACATTTGTACAGTATTTTTTTTTTAAATATTGATTGAAGATCGTTTTAACTATGCGTATTTGAGATGGGAATTTATGATCGAAGACAATAAGTATTTGCATTTCAATAACAGAAAAATAGATTGCCACAAAGAAAAATAACAAATCTATATACGTATAAAGCTTGAATTTTTTTTTATTAATCTTGTGATTATTTGCTGTGATTAGAAAATGCTTTTTGTAAAGACTACACCACAAATAATCCATTGGTTTTCTTTGAAAAGCAGTTCATGATACAAAATTATGAGGTAACAATATGATCGGTTTTATTACTAATTACACATTTTAATTTACACTATTCACATTGTTCGGACTGTTGGCATCTTTGTCGTCATATTCACGACGTTTCGGCCTTTGTACGCTCCGGCCTTCTTCAGGTAATTGGAATTTCGAACCGTATTAGTTTTAGTAACCACAAAGTACACTTGTATACTAAATGTTTTTTTTTAAATATTAATTGATGATCGTTTCAACTATTCGTATTTAAGATGGGAATTTATGATCGAATACAATAAGTATTTGCCTTTCAATGACAGAAAAATAAATATCAGAGGAATATGGAGGATTTAGTGAAATTCACAAGTCTAAAATGTTTCTTTTTCAATTTTTCGTGCATACACTCAATTTCTCCATAATACGTGGTTATAAAATACTATACATAAAAAATTGTAATGAGAGGGGAGGGGATGACCCTATAAAAACAAACTAAAATATCAAAACAAATTAAAGATAACTGATGTTATCTGGACCCGTCTAGCCCTCAAAAAGAGAGGCCGCTGTATTCTGCCCTACGATAGATTCAAGAGGCTCTCTGGCTAAGGGTGAGGGAAAGAAGAAAATATATGAGGAATAAATAAAGTTGACCCAGACGAGATGAAAGAAGGCAAAAAAAAAAAAAACCCGAGGAGTGAAGCTATGTTACTGGTTGTGGGCAACTGAAGCCGAGATGAAAGGCCAGGACTTATAACATTGCAGTTATGTTTAATTTGATTTGTGTTAACTTTTTAGTTTGTTATTGGGTTCATCTTCCTCCCCTCCCATTTTTTCATCATAGAATTTTATATATATTTTTAGCATCATTAAATTTTTATGACACGGGGCGCGTTTTGTAGGTCTCCCTAGAGAGAATGTGGTATTATGGTGTGTGGAGAATTGATTGGTGACGGACGAGTTCTTGTGGTGAATGTGGAAATTGTAATGTATGAATGGGTCGTGATTAGCTAGGTATAGGATAGTTAGTTAAGACCAGCCTCAACGCCTCCCTTTTTTCGGCCTTGTGCCACAATTGTAATTTTTTACAATAAATATTCAGAAACACCAGACCAGAAGTGAGTATAATAATTATAATTCTTTATTTCAGAAATTGTGTAAAAATGGTATTTATTTAAGGCTATTACGCGTCTCAGTCGATTTGTTTCCATGGCAATAAGTCGAGGGTTTTGTAATTATGACGTAACGAAGAGAGGGGAACGATCGTCTGAAAAGTGAGACTAATCGGGAGTTAGATGTGGGGTCGAAGGAGGACAGAAGAGGTTCTTTTCGCCAAGTTATTCCTGGCGCTTTCTCAGAGGGAAATGATTAACAGAATAATCTCGTATTAGCTTTGATTTTGTGATTAATTCATGTCATTAATAACGGCTGCTATTGTCATCTTTTCTTTTTCGCTTCTAATTTCACTCTCTCACTCTCTCTATCTCTTTCTTTCTCTCGCTCTTTCTCTCTCTCTTTCTCTCTCTCTATTTCTTTCTTCCTCTGTCTTTCTTTTTGTCTCTCTTTTTCTTTCTTTCTTTCTCTCTCTCTCTCTCTTTCTCGCTATTTCTTTCTATCTCTTTCTCTGTCTTTCTTTCTTTTTCTCTTTCTTTATTTTCCCTCCTTTCTTTCTTTCTTTCTTTCTTTCTTTCTTTCTTTCTTTCCCTTTCTATTTTACCCTCTCTCTCCCCTCTCTTTCTCTCGCTCTATCTCTCTCTTTCTCTCGCTCTTTTTCTATCCCTCGCTCTTTTTTCTCTCTCTCTCTCTTTCTCTCTATATATTTCTTTCTTCCTCTGTGTTTCTTTTTTCTCTTTCTTTTTCTCTCTCTCTTTCTCGTTCTTTCTTTCTCTTTCTCTTTCTTTATTTTTCCTCCTCTCTTTATCTTTCTTTCTTTCTTTCTTTCTTTCTTTCTTTCTTTCCCTTTCTCTTTCTCTCTCTCCCTCTCTCGCTCTTTCTTTTTATCTTTTTCTTTATCTCTACATCTTTCCTCTCTTTTTTCACTCTTCCCTTTCTTTCTTTCTTTCTTTCTTTCTTTCTTTCTTTCTTTCTTTCTTTCTTTTTCTCTTTTCCCCCCTCTCTTTCTGTCTTACTTTCTCTCTCTCACTCTTTGTATCCCTTTTTCTATCTCTTTCTCTTTTTTTCTCATTCAATCTTTTTCTTTCTTTCATTCTATCTTTCTCTCTCTCTCTCTCTCTCTCTCTCTCTCTCTCTCTCTCTCTCTCTCTCTCTCTCTCTCGTCATTTTTTAGTTTCTCGTCTTTCGTATACAATTGTTTCTTTTTGCTTTGTTTCTTTTTCTTTATTGGGGTGGAACGAAAGTTCGTATTGATGACGTTTAAACACGTGATTTCTTGTCACAAGTGGCTAGAATGTACGACCCATATTCTTAAGCGTCCTAGGTATGACGATAAACTACATCTGGCAGCAAGGTCTTTGTTCCGGAAGTGTTGAGGAGTGTGGAATCACCTCTTTAATAAACTGTTGTTCCTAGGTCCACTCTGATCCTGGGTGGTAGCACCTGTCAAGGGTCTCAGCTATGGGCAAATGCTTAAGGCGCAAACTGGGATCAAAACTATGTGAAAGTATAAAAATAGATTTTTATAGTACTAATACCAGCAATATATTTTTAAAAAATTCAAAAATCCTATTTACAAAAATACGTCACTGAAACGTGATCTACACACTGATTTTTTACAAAGAATACATATTCTATTCATACGAATCTATCCTAAAAATATTGTCGGCATTAAATAACCCATTGAGGTGTTGATATGCCGTAAAACAAAATAAACCAAACCAATCTAAACCAAAGGATACATATTCTATTCATACGAATCTACACTAAAAATGTTGTCGGCATTAAATAACCCACTGAGGTGTTGATATGCCGTAAAACAAAATAAACCAAACCAATCTAAAACAAAGAATACATATTCTATTTATATAAATCTATCCTAAAAATGTTGTTGGCATTAAATAACCCATTGAGGTTGATATGCCGTTAAACAAAATAAACCAAATCAATCTAAACCAAAGAATACATATTCTACTCATACGAATCTATCCTAAAAATGTTGTAGGCATTAAATAACCCATTGAGGTGTTGATATGCCATAAAACAAAATAAACCAAACCAATCTAAACCAAAGAATACATATTCTATTCATACAAATCTATCCTAAAAATATTGTCGGCATTAAATAACCCATTGAGGTTGATATGCCGTAAAACAAAATAAACCAAACCAATCTAAACCAAAGAATACATATTCTATTCATACGAATCTACACTAAAAATGTCGGCATTAAATAATCCATTGAGGTTGATATGCCGTAAAACAAAATAAACCAAACCAGTCTAAACCAAAGAATACATATTCTATTTATACGAATCTGTCCTAAAAATGTTGTCGACATTAAATAACCCATTGAGGTTGATATGCCGTAAAACAAAATAAACCAAACCAATCTAATTCAAAGAATACATATTCTATTTATACGAATCTATCCTAAAAATGTTGTCGGCATTAAATAACCCATTGAGGTTGATATGCCGTTAAACAAAATAAACCAAACCAATCTAAACCAAAGAATACATATTCTATTCATACGAATCTATCCTAAAAATATTGTCGGCATTAAATAACCCATTGAGATGTTGATATGCCGTAAAACAAAATAAACCAAACCAATCTAAACCAAAGGATACATATTCTATTCATACGAATCTACACTAAAAATGTTGTCGGCATTAAATAACCCACTGAGGTGTTGATATGCCGTAAAACAAAATAAACCAAACCAATCTAAAACAAAGAATACATATTCTATTTATATAAATCTATCCTAAAAATGTTGTTGGCATTAAATAACCCATTGAGGTTGATATGCCGTTAAACAAAATAAACCAAATCAATCTAAACCAAAGAATACATATTCTACTCATACGAATCTATCCTAAAAATGTTGTAGGCATTAAATAACCCATTGAGGTGTTGATATGCCATAAAACAAAATAAACCAAACCAATCTAAACCAAAGAATACATATTCTATTCATACAAATCTATCCTAAAAATATTGTCGGCATTAAATAACCCATTGAGGTTGATATGCCGTAAAACAAAATAAACCAAACCAATCTAAACCAAAGAATACATATTCTATTCATACGAATCTACACTAAAAATGTCGGCATTAAATAATCCATTGAGGTTGATATGCCGTAAAACAAAATAAACCAAACCAGTCTAAACCAAAGAATACATATTCTATTTATACGAATCTGTCCTAAAAATGTTGTCGACATTAAATAACCCATTGAGGTTGATATGCCGTAAAACAAAATAAACCAAACCAATCTAATTCAAAGAATACATATTCTATTTATACGAATCTATCCTAAAAATGTTGTCGGCATTAAATAACCCATTGAGGTTGATATGCCGTTAAACAAAATAAACCAAACCAATCTAAACCAAAGAATACATATTCTATTCATACGAATCTATCCTAAAAATATTGTCGACATTAAATAACCCATTGAGGTTGATATGCCGTAAAACAAAATAAACCAAACCAAACCAGACTTTGGATAAATTGGCAACTAGTCTACTACAGAACAAAATGGCAACCTACTGAGGAAAAAAAATGCCTCGTCAGTCATATATCAAAAGATACGTGATCACCTAAGCGTGTGTCACGCATGGCACATAACTGGTTCCCAATATAGATGCGGCGGTTTCAAAAAATTCATATGCCAAAAATAATATATGATTTCAAAATTTAAAATTTAAGTAGAATATCAGAGAATTTCAGTAGCAAAGACACAGGGTTATTAAACTGAGTTATTTCAATTCTCTAATAACTATTGCATATATGTAGGGAGGGAGGGAGGGAGGGAGATGTGGTTATGAGAGAAAGAAGGCAAAGAGAGAGTGATTATTGTCCAGTGTTTGTTTATTATGCATGTGCAAACATTCTGAACTCATGCAAGGGACTTCTTATGAAATGCAAGAATCATTGTGAAGGCTATTTACTTTGTATAGTTTGTGTTTGGTTATGAATTACAATTGTAGCAATATGAGTCAGCTGAGGTCCTGTTAAATAGTAAACAGCTGGAGCTGTCTCAAAAATGGACACGGAACATTTACTTTGGAGCGATATAGATAATAAGTGAAGTTAACGTCAACGTAAAGAGCAAGATGCTCAGACAGAGAGAAAGTCACGGGAGGAAGATAAATTACTCTTTGTCGAGGAAGATGACAAGACAAAGAAAATTGTTATTGTTATGGTCCAGGTTAGGACCAAGGAAGAACAACACGAACACAAGAGTAGAAATAACGAAGGTATATTACACGAAATAATTATACAAGATGTGGAAGGTGTTAGTATGACTGTCAGTCTGGTTTGGAGTGAACTACTATCGGCTCAACTCGATTCGGTATCTAGCCACCCCCCACGAGGGTTGCATAAGGCCGAATTTAACGTGGGTTTCCCGAGCCCGTAGGCTCGGCCAAAAAATGCCCGTAGAATCCGTATAAACGGGATCGGGTTGGTCAACCTCCCCGAACGAGACTCTGCCCTTCGGCGGAGCCTCGTTCGGGTTCCTCTCTGCTCAGAGGCAGAGAGTTCGACCGTCAAGCCGAGAAGCTCGGCTTGATTCGACCCTCTCTCTTGAGAGGCGTAGTATACATAGTGTTAGGAAGAATTCATTCTGTAGTTATAGGTAAGGAGCCATGATAGTTATCGACAAAAGTGACCCGTGAAAAGGCACACAAAGGGACGAAGCGGAGCTCATAGAAAGGACAGAGTTACAGCCGCTAGACTATACACTTCCTCCTCAACTACTCTCTACTTCGCTCGCATATAGCAGTAGCTTACAACCATAGTTTACTGCTAGAGATTGTTTTGTTTTTCACTCGTGGGTAACGATCTAGCCGAAGGGTAATTTTTAAGCCACAAACGTTTGACTGGCAGAAACTGCACCCTGTCAATGACCCTGGCGTCTGGTCTGGTCTGAGTTGCAACGCAACACAATATCCTATTATTTTATCCTGTTGAACTGAACCAATGAAGCCGGGTATGAAAAACAATGAAAGAAGGAAAAGACGCAGTTAATTTATGACTGGTTTGTTTCTACAAAGTGGTACATGCAGCCGACCACGTTTGACAAGGGAGGTAAGTATGTCGCTTACAATAATGAAAAGTGTCGTAAATCTCACTTTTCGTTTCGTTTCACTTTGTTTTATTTTACATTTACATAAATTAATAGCAGTGAGAATAGCCAGGGTTTGTGAAGTGTAAGTGTCGTGAGAAAAGAGGAAATTTGAAAACAAAAATTAACATGTGTGGTGAATAATTACATTTTGCTTGGTTGCTTTTTGCTGAATTTATTGAGAAAAGATTAGATGCGTGTCATATATAGGCACAAAAGGAAAGCGGTTATTTGGATAAAGCAGATAGATAGATAGATAGATAGATAGATAGATAGATAGATAAGGAACATTGTGAGATAGATAGATAGATAGATAAGGAACAGTGTGAGATAGATAGATATAAACAGCTTGAGGTAGATAGATATGAATATATTGAGATAAATGTGAACTGATAGGTATAAACATTGAGATATGAATCTATCTATCTATCTATCTATCTATCTATCTATCTATCTATCTATCACAGTTTTTTCCTCATCTATCTATCTATCTATCTATCTATCTATCTATCTATCTATCTATCTATCACAGTCTTTTCCTTTATCTATCTATCTATCTATCTATCTATCTATCTATCACAGTCTTTTCCTTTATCTATCTATCTATCTATCTATCTATCTATCTATCTATCTATCACACTCTGTTCCTTATCTATCTATCTATCTATCTATCTATCTATCTATCTATCTATCTATCACAGTCTTTTCCTTTATCTATCTATCTATCTATCTATCTATCTATCTATCTATCTATCCTGATACACCTATTTACTCCTGTCTGAACAGTAAGTCTTATCGGTTCAATGGCGTCAAAAACAAAATGAGCTACACTCTGTTGTTAAATGTGTCAATGAGTGTCTTCGTAATTTTAACGCCTCCAAGACGAAACTGCTGTCTTTTAATCATCTAAGAGAACCACCTTTTTATTTTCCATCAGTATGGCTGATGCTAACCTCCAGAAGATTAACTCATTGCGCCTTCTTGGGATAAGTAAGTTGGTTCATTATGGCGTCAGTTTTTCTCACCAAATTCTCTCTTACATATTTAAGAGCCTACCATTTGTCCTAGCTTGAAATATTGCTGCCATATATTGTCTGGTGCTCCTCATATATATTTAGAGATTCTTGATAAAATCCAAAGAAGAATCTACAATATTATTGGTGTCCTGAGCTGGCTTCTCGGCTTCAGTCACTTTCCAAACTCCGTAACGTATCGGCCCTGTGCGTCTTCTATATTTTTATGATAATTTTCCGGTATGGTACGTAGACTTTATGACTTTAAGCGCAGTACTAGATTGGCGGAAAGGTCTCATCCTTTTACAGTTTAAATGGTTAGATGTAACCGTAAGTTCTATGCTAACAGTTTCTTTTCTCGTACTTCTCAGTTGTGAAACTCTCTTCCAGCATCTTGCTTTTCGAAGATTAAAGTTTCAATGTCAATCGTTATCTTCTGTCTTTTTAATTCCTCTTCTTCCATTGTTCTCTCTCCTTATAATGTTTTTCTTTTTCTTATGTTCTTTCACACTCAGTAGCGTCTTAGTGGCTTTATTGCCTTGCATGGGGTAAAATGATTTTAAAAAGATCTATAAGTCACTCAAGTCCAATGTGAGAGGACATTTTTGAAAGCTCAAAGATCATAAAGACAAGGTTAAGAAATTCACTGCCTATGGAGAATTTGGAATCATACATGTTGTTAGCCATTGAAAAAGAATTGTTTGATGAATTGGATGCAGAAGCAGTTATCGACTGAATAGAACAATCATTGAGTGAACATAAACGGTTGCTCTTAATATAGTAGACTGCATGCAATGCTCTCTTGTGCTTTTGGGCTATCTGTTAATGTGTAAATTGTACAGTAAACTATTTAAAAATATCAACCAATTACTTAAAATTAAAAAAAAATAAATGAATTGGCTAGATGTAACCGTAAGTTCTATGCTAACAATTTCTTTTCTCGTACTTCACGCTTGTGGAACTCTCTTCCGGTTTTTTGTTTTCTATTCAACTTTGATCTTCAAAAATTAAAATGCAACATTAATCATTATCTTCTGTTTACTTAGTTCCTGTTCTTTTATTGTCCTCTCTCTGTAATAGATAGATAGATAGATAGATAGATAGATAGATAGATATGAAAAAATAACTTGTTATTGGCAGATACTAAATTTCAAGTCGATGATTTAAAATGGATTGGCGTGTGTTATTCTACAATGGCCTAAGAAAAGTTTTTAGCCAGGAGAAATAAATCACATCCAATTTCAAAATTTAATTACGTAATCCCTATTCAACATAAATAAACAGTGTTTGGAACTAGTATAGAGTAGGTCCTCCATTTGCTAGTTCTCAGTGCTTGTATTTGATTTTTCATGGATTTGATCAACTTATCAACAATCGTCTGATCCATATTTTGTCACTCCTTTAACAATATTTCTTTAAGGGTTGCCACTGACGTAATTTTGGTTGCACGCTCTCGAAGTCTTCGGTCAAGGTGCTCCCAAACGTGTTCTATTGAATTCATGTCAGTATTTTGGGCTACCTATGGCAGTGACTTGATTCCTTGCGATTCCTTCCAGGCCTTTGCTAGTTTGCTCCTTTGACATGGCGCTCCATATTCTTGAAAAAGGTAGACATACTTGTCAATCTGATTGATTTTAAATAATAGGAGTAGTCCTTTCTCTAATATTTGAAAGTATTTTGGACCATTCAACCGCTCGTCAACAAGAATCAGCTCAGATTTCCCTCCAAACCAGACAGCGCCCCACCCCATTGCTCCAATCCCTCCATGTTTCACGGTCGCCTGCAGACATTCAGTGTTTCAAGTCTCATTCTGATTTCTTCAAATCTGTCTCGAATCCGAACATTAGCATCATCTGACCAAATTATAGATTGCCAAAATTCATAGTCTTTGCTCTCGAATTCTCTCGCCCAGACCATACACCTGTTCCTGTTAATCCCTGAAATCAAGGGCTCCTTTCTTGTAACTCTTCTTTGATAGCCTAGCTCTTTCAGAGTCTTTCTCACCACATATGGCGACATTTCCATGCTGTTGGCAACATCTTTGATGCTCTGGCAATGGTTTCTGATGACTTCCCTCTTCAGCGCCCTTTTGTTCGCTCAGACTCGATGCTTCGTCTTCCTGAAAGTTGTTCCACGCGACAATGACATTCTTCATTAAATTTCTTGACAATATTATTAACCATTTGATGATTAACCTGGCAAAAACTAACAATTTCTTAGTTTGACTTGCCACACTGTTACCATCCTATTAATTGCCCCTTGTTGAAATTCACTAATTTCCTTATTTCCGAGAACTTTCAGTTGCAAAATATCAGTCAACTATCGTTTAATTGATTTCAAATTACGTTCAGTTGACCTTAAACAGGACAAAATTTACCTTTGCTTACTATTGGAACACTTTTGCCCCAAATACAGAAGACGGCTTGAATGATTATGTTGATGGAATTTTCCAATTTATAAGGTAAGTGTGCCAACTCAAATAAATCTAAGAGGGAATGTTTTCTGACCTGGCGTGATTTCTGGGCCAACATAATCGTGTCACGGAGAAAATTATTTGAGAATTAAGAAGCGTGTCGAGCTAAATCAACACCGTGAGGACGTTAAATAAGGAAATCATTTAATCGTGCCGGTACTTGTATTTGGTAAACAAGAGTACTAAATAAATGAGAATTTCATCTGAAGAAACCTTTTCTCAGGAAATGAATTCAAGCTTTATTTTTAAATATACAACGAAACACTCACCTAGCTTTCCACCGACCAGCCAGTGGCTACTAGCCTCTAGAAGGAACCGGAAACCCAATCTTATAGTGGAGCAGATAACTGTAACAATCTTTCATTTCTGAAAAAAAAAAGCACCAAAATTGGCGCACATACTCCTTCCGGGTTGCTCTTTTGATAAAATCCGTTAGCCACCTAAAAATTCAAGATGGCGCTTATTTTTTAAGATGGACGCCATTAAATATACAAGTATATTTCATTTCGCGATAAGATCCTATTTGAATGATCTTGGTGTCAAATCATACATTTTTCACTAAGTAGAATCCGAATTTGGAACTATGGACTTACTCACTGTTTTCCTTGTGCCAACAGAACGGATATCAACACTCAACCAGGGAACACTGAATGTCACCGCTGTTGAGAAACTCAGCATGGGATTCAGTATCAGCGGAATAATTATTTAGTGTACCTAAGTGAATTTACATTGTTTTGCATGTAGTTACCTGGATAGTGTACAGATCGCACGGGACTTAAACGATACTAGATGAACGATTGGGCTAAGTATAAGTCATATATTTTTTATTCTCAAACCTAGTCATATTGTAAAATGCTGCTTGGTTTTACGAGACCCCAATTGTGCATGAACATTAAAATATATATTGAAACAATAACATACAAAACAATCATGAAATGGTGTGTAGTAATTAAGGGAGAAAAAGTTGTTCCCCGTTAACTGTATTCTCATTAAGATTGAATGTTCGAAAGAATTTCTCTTGTATAAGAATGTTCAGGATTCTATGTTGAATAGAGTCTGGTGTTAGAATAGAATACAGTTAATTAAGAAGTGTTGTTTTGAGAAATTAATAGAGTGCTGGTTCATGAACTTGGCTTAGTCACAGAGAGAAAGATATGTATAATGTGATACAAAAATCTGTGTCTGTGTGTGCGTTGTGAGTAAAGTCGTGGATTTGTGTAGACAGGCGTAAATAGCTGGACTCTACTGACTGTTGTGGAAAAAATCGCTTGTTTTTAAAGCTGCCCGTAGAATCCTAGCGAAAACGCGGGAAAGTTGATGTTCCACAAACATGTTTGATTGGGTAAAATTCGACCAATCACTGATCTTGTAACAAAGACACATGTGAGCAAGTTCACGGCAGAAAAATTCAAAGTGGTGACTGCGATTGCTAAATTGTTTTATGGAAAGGCAGTATCGATTTATTAGCCAATCGCAGACGAATAAATTGTGGGAGTGGAAAGCTTAACAGGCGCTACAACATCCCATAATTTATAATGCTCCTCTGGTATCAAAATAAAATGTCTTTGAAAAATATTCCACCAGTAAAATTCAATGGATATAAAAAGGTTAAATCACTGTCTTGAATGATGGTCAAGAATTTTTAAATAATAGTTTGGATACAAAGTTCATTCTGTTTCTGATGTGAACAAAGATAAATTGACAAAAGAATTGATGATTATCTCCTTCTTTCATCATCATCATCTCCCTTGACTTCTGTAATCGTATCAGATCGAAATGCAGAAGACTGTAATAAATTCTGAAAATCACCTACGTCGAAAAAGAGTTTGTGTTTTCTGCTGGGCTACCAAAGGAGAATGAAAGAAAATAGTGAGCAAAAATCTGGTACGGACAGGCATCAGAGAAACTCTGCTAATGTTCTTTCCTTCCCTGAATGGCTAATCAGAAAAATCGCTTCTACAGTGAATAAAAGGCCATTCCTTTTTTGCTTACCAAGGACAGAACAATTTTGAACTTGGTTCCTAAAAAAAAGTGCTTTCTCCTGTTGGAAGAGGAAGGTTGGAAATTCTCAGGCCCATTTTGAGGAAACATTGCCTGTTTATACAAATTTGTGATTGAACTTACTGCTGGCATATGGATTTTTTTTTTTACTGACCCCATTCAATGATACCCAAACAAAACGCCAACACTTTTCCACAACTCTCTATATATAATATTATCAATTCTGTACAGTCATACCTGTCCATTGTTTGACATTGTCCAACCATTTTTTT